TGATATAATTAGGTTTACCTCTGTCATCTTGATATTTGTTCTATTTGTGCCATCAGTTTTCTTTTTCCTCTAATTTATTTTGGATTTTTTTGAACATTTTGTATGATGCCATTTTATGTCTTTTATTGGCTTATTAACTATAACTTTTTTATTTGATTGGTTGCTTCAAGATTTGTAGTTACTTCTTTAAGTTGTATCTTCAAGCAATATTATACCAATTCACATATAGTATAAGAGCCTTACAGTAGTATACTTCCATTTCTTCTGTACTGACCTTTGTGCTATGATTGTCAAACTCTATTCTTAGATGTTACAAACTCCATACTACATTATTACAAGTGGAAGGCCAATTATCTTTTAATGAGATTGAAATAAAAATATCTTATATCTTTATGCCCATTGTACTCTTATAGCTTAAACCAGTGTAACTATCATTTCTCATGCTCTTCGCTCCTCTTTATAGATCTGTTCTTCTCATCTGATATCATTTTCTTTCTGCTCAGGGCTTCCTTTAACATTTCTTGCAGTATGGTTTTGCTGGTGATGAATTCTTTCAGCTTTCATGTGTCTGGAAAAGTAGTAGTTAATATAGTAGTGAATATAGATTGGTAAGAGATCCAAGAACTGAAACCTATTCTATACCAGTATTAAGAGGTGGGAGAGATAAGGAACCAGTTTAAAAAAGATTAAGATGCAGGGGTGCCTAGGTGGTTGTCAGTTAAGCATCCAACTTTGGCTCAGGTCGTGATCTCATGGTTCATGAGTTCGAGCCCTGCGTCGGGCTCTGTGCTGACAGCTCAGAGCCTGGAGCCTGCTTCAGATCTGTGTCTCCCTCTCTCTGTGTCTGATCGCACTCTATCTCTCTCTCAAAAATAAACATTAAAAAGAAAAAAAAGATGGAATCACTGGTGAACTAGAAGGAATATCAGAATATGATATGGTTTCCATGTTTAGTGGAAAATGATTTAAACATTACTTAAATACCATAAATCTCAAAATCCTTACCATCTCAGTCATCTCAGGGTTATTATAAAGAACCCAGTACCTTAATTTTTTTAATGGCCTGCTTTTTCCCAAAGTAGTTGTCTATTCCTATAATGTCCACAAAACGATTGGATTAATTGTATTAGAAACAAGGTAAAAATCATTGTCGTGTCTTTTAAGATGATGATTTATCTATAATTGGAACATTACCTATGGCATTGTGTGTTTGGGTCCAGATCATGGCTGCTAAAATGATCAGGAAGGGGATAAACATAACTAAAAATCAAAGACTCTTCATTTAGAGAAGTTAGGGTTCTTCCTGATTAATGTGATTGATCTCCACAACAAAGCATGAACACACTTTCCAGATTTCAAAAATGGAGGATGTTTCCAAAGTTTGAGAGAGCTAAATTTAAGAAATTGACATGAGGTATTAGATATGGAATAAAGTCATAGAAGAAAAGTTTAAAGGAGTTGTTTTAGAACAAGGTTTTCTAAAAGCTGGACAAAGGAATTGATCTTCCAGAACAAAACAATACATCTTTCTGAAGATAAAGACAAACTTAAGCTAGTAGAAAGTTTGCTTAAAGAAATAAAATTTTACCCTTGGAAGGTTTTCTGCTATGAACTTTTTTTTTTTTTTTAACTTTGCCATCTTCTAGGACCTGCCTTGTTAATACAATGTGCAATCTATTTTAGCGTAATTGTGTATTTTATTATGAATGTAGTCAAACAAATTTCCTGTGTATATTTTTTTAATGTGTATTTATTTATTTTGAGAGGGAGAGAGAGAACACGAGCAGAGGAGGGGCAGAGAGAGGGAGAGAGAGAATACCAAGCAGACTCCACACTGTCATCACAGAGCCTGATGGGGGGCCTGAACTCACAAACAGGGAGATAATGACCTGAGCTGAAATCAAGGGTTGGATGCTTAACCAACTGAGCCACGCAGGCACCCCTAAATTTCCCATATTTCTTTAAAACAATGTTTTGGTTTTTTTTAATGTTTATTTATTTTTGAGTGGGAGGGAGAGAGAGGGAGACACAGAATCCGAAGCAGGCTCCAGGCCCCGAGCTGTCAGCCCAGAGCCCGACACGGGACTAGAACCCACAAACAGTGAGATAACGACCTGAGCCAAAGTCGAACACCTAACCGACTGAGCCTCCCAGGTGCCCCTAAATTTCTCATATTTCTAAGGAGAAGATCCAAACAGACAAGTTTTTGGCTAACTTTAAGGAAAATTTTTAAGGGTAGTCTTACTATATATGTATTTTAAATCACACATATAAGACACATAAATTTTAGAAAAAGAATGTATCTTTCATTGTGTAAAATAATTCAGGTATTCTCATTTGTTGTGGCATCCAGTGTCTTCAACACCATGAAAGTCACATTCTTTTTAGTAATACAGTTTTTGAGAGAATATTGTATTAATGCCCATTAAACAGTTTGAAAATACAGCATCTTTTGAAACCTTAACACTGGAAACCTCGTACCAAGCAACAAAAGCTCATATATAATATTTGATTTCTTCTGTAAGTGTGTGGTATCTCCCGAGTGAAGCAACTTAAATTAATTTTTAAAATGACTTTTGAGATGCATGTTCACACTGACACCTGTTGTTTTAAGGCCCTAGGAGTAACTAAAACTGTTCAAAATGTTGCCCTCCTTTTAGTTAGCTTTAATTGTCATTTAGATAAGATGTTTTATCTAGCTAAGATCATCTAGATAAGAGATAACATTTAGATAAGATGTTTTTGAATGCATTACTAGTATGCAGATGAGTTTCTTTGACCCCACTTGTAGATAAACATTTTTTTTTAAAGTTTATTTATTTAGAGACAGCTCCCTGAAGGGAGCACAAGTGGGGGAGGGGCAGAGAGAAAGAGAGAATCCCAAGCAGGCTCCACACTGTAATTGTGGAGCCAGATGCTGAGCTCAAACCCACGAACCAGGAGATCATGACCTGAGCCGAAGTCAGGCACTTAACCTACTGAGGCACCCTGGTGCCCCAATAAACATTTCTTGAATAAACTGAGCATAGGGAAGATGTAAAATCGCAATCACAGCCCGATGTAAAGAAACAGGGAAATAACCTAACAAATACAATTTTTAACAAGTAGGATTTTAAACTTTTTATAACTTAGGAAGTTACATTAGGAAGAAGGTAGCTAAGCTGGAATTAGGGCAGTCTCAGAATCTCCCAGCCAGCCCGGTGTTCTCAGGTGAACTCATGACCCAAACAAGAGGATCCTTGAAACCTTTGGCTTCGCACACATGAAACTTTTCGAAAGATAAAGTGTTTGACCCCAAGAAGTGTGGGCTCTCTCAAGTTTTCCCAGATCTTCAAGGAGTCTTAAGTGTAAACATAAGACCCCCACACTAGCCTTAGGGGACAGCCTGGAACTCCCTCAGCAATAAACTTGAATGGAGCACCGGAAAACCCCCAGAGCAGGCTAAAATCATTGGTGTTTCCCATTGAAAAAATGGAAATGGCTTTCTGTTTTTTTGAGACACTGTGTTTTCCATTGGAAGTATGCAAATGCTGTGAATCTCCTCCAGCTGTTCATGCATTTCTTGGGTGTAAAACAAAGTTACTGGACTTTTATTTTTCATTAAGTATGAAATTACTAATTATGAAATACTTATTTTCATATATGTCAGCAAATATGTATCAGCATATACATATAACAAAAAAGGAAAACTCTAATATTTCACAGCTACAGGAACCCTGGACTGGGTTTCAGCTGACAAGATTCTCGTCTTAGGTTTTGCCCTTCCATTCCTCAAGTTCCCTATGTATAGAAGAGAAGGATGAGATATTAAACAGGAATTAAACAGGATAGTCCCTAAAGCTCTTTACAATTCCAAAAAATTCTGAATTTTTATCATTTTAATGAACAGAAATAGAAGTTAAAAACTCATTTGCAAGTTTACTGCTCCTTATGCATGGGAACTATTTTTACCCCAATCATTTGTGATAATTACAGCTTTCTAGCCTTGAAGTCATAGGGTGCTATGAATTGGTAAAGGATAATAGAATTTAGTACATGGTTATAAAAGTCCTTTTAGTACACGGTTAAGTAATGGTGGGAAATGTGACCTCTACTGTTTAGTGAAAGATGTTTTTTAATATACAGAGGCATTGTTCTTTTTGGCATAATAATGAAAGCACCCATTATTTCTAGCATTTGGTTCTAATTGTATAGAATCAGTTGTTTGTCAGTGTGATAAGACCCTGATTGCAATGTCTGGAGGAAAGGGGTGATTGTGGTTGTTGTAAGGACCCTAATTATAGAATTTATTTTGCACTTTCAGAGTGAGCTTCATTTTTATCAATGCTTGTGAAGTCTGAGTAATCGAATTCTTTCAGGATTTGCTGTTGGATAATCACTGATGACATACTTCCTTTTACATTTTTGTGATTAAGTATTAATATAATTTGATCCAGGTGCTTTTTCTTCTTTGTAGTCATATTGTTTGTTTGTGAGAACTGAACATGTCTTTGTGCTCTGATTTATTACCCAGTTATTTACTTCCTGAAGGCCGTTATTAAGTTTAGAATTATTTGCTAGATTTTAAGATTTTTCTCTAGTATGTATTTTTTTTAATGTTTGTTTATTTTTGAAAGAGAGAGAGAGAGAGAGGGAGAGCACAAATGGGGAGGGGCAGAGAAAGAGGGAGACAAAGAATCCAAAGCAGGTTCCAGGCTCCAAGCTGTCAGCAGAGAGCCCCACGCGGGGCTCAAACCCACGCACCGTGAGATCATGACCTGAGCTGAAGTGAGACGCTTAACCAACTGAGCAGCCACCCAGGTGCCCCAAGATTTTTCTCTGGTATTTAAAAAGTAAAGTCCTCACAGTTATGAGCATATTTTAACATTTAACTCTTAAGGGGAATATGATACTTCTGTTGTAATTACCTATTGAAAATAGGACAATTCCTAAATTATCTTTGATTATTTTAAGCTTGATTATCACAATTTTGAAATATATTCTTCCTTAGCCTTGTTTACATACAAATCTTTTCACTGTAGTTCGAGGAGAAATGAGGGTCCCTGAAGAAGCACTAAAGGTAAAAATTTTTTACTTATTTCCTTTGTAAATCCACCATTTGCTAGGGTCGATTTCACTCTTGGATGTTTCACTTCCATTTTTAAATGTCTTATAGCATGAGAAGTTTACCATTCAGCTTCAGCTGTCCCAAAAATCTTCAGAATCAGAGTTATCAAAATCTGCGTGTGCCAAAAGCCTGGATTCAAAGGGAGCAGATACATCAGCAGAGGTGCAGCATAAAGCCACAGAAGCACTGAAGTCTGAGGAAAAAGCCGTGGGTAAGTTAACCTGTTTGGAAATACCATATTTATACGTGGTTAGGAAGAAATTGCATCCTTTGTTCTAAAAAAGTTGGCCATGTCCATGTAAATTTGTAATAATGACAATTTTAGAGTAGGTTTTAATACAGCCAACGCTTTCATTAGAAAGCATTTTATAACACATAATTATATATGACAGTTATATGTAGGTGTGTTTAATATATTTAAATATTTGAGAGAAATAAATATAGTTTTCAATATTTTTATTTAATGTTTGTCTGCTTTTTTTGAATTATAACAAGTGAATTAAAAGGAAATATCCAGGGGCACCTGGGTGGTTCAGTTAGTTGAGCATCCAGCTTTGGCTCAGGTCATGATGTCATGGTTCGTGAGTTCAAGCCCTGTGTCAGGCTCTGTGCTGACAGCTCGGAGCTTGGAGCCTGCTTCCGATTTTGTGTCTCCCTCTCTCTCTGCCCCTCCCCTGCTCGTGTTCTGTCTCTCTCTGTCTCTCAAAAGTAAATAAATGTTAAAAAAAATTTGAAAATAACAATGAAAAATCTAAAAAAATAAAAGGAAATATCCAATGATATTATGTCATCATAATTATTATTGTGTATATGATGTTCCAGGAACTGCTCTACATAAATAATCCTATTCATACAAAAACATTTTTTTTTAATTAATAGAATAGGCATTACCAAATTTGCTCAAATATAAATCTACTAGTCATGTTAACATCTAGGTTAAATTTAGTTACTGTACAGTCCCCCTAGGCTTAAAAAAACTTTTTCATGGTCATTCATACCAAAACTCACTTTTGTCTTTTATCTCGACTTACTTAATGAGCCATTTCTGTATACCAAAATACTGAGTACACCTTAGCAAAAAGCTATTAGGTTACAGCAGTGTGCATTACTTAGATATCAGCCAGTGCAAAATTTCATTTATTTAGTCATGTCCAACATTGAATAAGGTCTGACACAAAAACTAAGTTTTTCAACTTAGAGTACTCTTCAACTATCTAGACTATATGTTGTTTTCATTTAATAAATTAGCCAGGCAATTCTAGCATTCTGCAAAACCATTTTTTTTTTCTGTTTCATATGCTTTAGACAGATTTTTTTTTCACCTTTTCCAGATATTTCTGCGATGCCCCGTGGTACTCCATTATATGGGCAGCCATCATGGTGGGGGGATGATGAGGTGGATGAACAAAGGGCTTTCAAGTCAAATGGCAAACCTGAAGAAAAAAGTCATGAAACCGGAACAGCAGGTAAGGAAAATCTCAAGACTGTGACATTAAATGGACATTTGGGGAAGAATTTGTAATTAAACAAAAATCTGGCAACTCTGAAAAAAAGATATCTACTACTCCTTAATTTAATAAAAAATGTTGATGAATGTCTTAATGATGTTGTCATTTTAAGTTTATTATGAATGATTCTCATATAAAGTATTAATTCCAGTATCATTTTATTTAAAAGGTTTTTCCAACTTATGAGATTAAAACTTGGAAAATAGATTAATAATGTAATTGAGCATTTAAGGTATTTAAAAAGAATTATTAAAATGTTTCAATTAGACCAAAATAGTGGGCACAAACGAATTGTGTGTTTCCTTAGATTCACAGGTATATAATCATGTTTTTAAATGAACAGTTTCTATTATGTTCAGAAATGTGATATAAAATTAACACTTATTTAAAACCTCAGTTTGCTTTGTTTGTTGGGATATGGTAGCAAGACTAGCCAAGTTCAGCCAGAATGAAAAATTAGTTCTGGGTCACATTAATAGTCAAGGAACATATTCTTGTGTTGCTGGAGGGATTTAGTAATGAACCAAGTGCCCTTATCCAGCAAGGGTCAAGATTTCCAGGAAATGAATGGAGGTGTCATTCGTCACGTAAGGACTTGGCAAAGACATCAACACCAAAGGGTGAAACGGGCAGTTTCTACGATAATGTCAGATAAGAATCCAGAACTGTAGGAATTGAACACAGGTACCAGGGAGCAGTCTGGAAAACCAAGTCTGACTGAGTCAAAGATAGACCCCAGCACAACTCTTCTCAATTTTCTACCTTCGACCCTAATTGTACAAGATAATAAATAAATTAAATAATTAATTAAGAACACTGTTCTTTATGTGCTAATTTGACCTTGGACAGGTCTAAGAAAGCTGGCTTTATCAACTTAATTTTACAAGTGCCCCAAACTGAAGTTGTCAACTTTGCAAATAAATTCCCATCGTAGCTTCCTTGTTTCTCTCCACCAGCAGTTTTCTTCATGTCCAAGCTTAGAAATACTTAGTATTCATACTGAGTATCATTCAGCATTACATCAGATGCAAATAACAAATGCTACCTGAGACTGAACAGGAAAGAAATTTCCTGGCTTAAATAACCGTACCTCTTCAGGGTTGGCTAAGGCATCTCTACAGTGTCATCAGCAACTGGTTTTTCTCCCTTTCTCAGCCCTTCAGTCCACAGTGGGCGTATAGGGCCGCATAGGGGGGTGTCTCCCCTCATGGCCATCTGTGTGAATGAAACTAAATTCTTAAATGATTATCAGCTTATGTGGCATGTCTCATTGAGTGTCATTTTTGCCAGATGACAAAAGCTGTTTCATAATCTTGGGATTATTTTTGAGTAAGAAGGAATTAAGTGATTTATGTTTGTGTTAAATTGCTTGAAGAACCCAGCCAGATTTAGCCTATTAGGTGTCTTGTGAGAGAATCTTATCTGCTTTCTTATGTTAGTGCAAGGATGTTATTGTTTCAGATTTATCATTGGCAGTTTTTACAATATAGGATGAGGGGAACAGTTTACTGACCTGAAATAACTTATGATACTAGCCGAGATTGTAGAATCAGTTTGAAGATGGGTAGTTATTTAATTTGATCATTTTGAAAGTGTTATTAAATGTTTCCAGTTATGAAATATAAGTGATTCATTTATGCTTTAAGCATGCAACTTGTAAATACAAAAAGTGACTTGCTTCTTGGTTACCCATTATTAGAATGCAAAATCTTAGTAATTGTTAGGAGGGGGGAACATTTCAGAAAAGCTAATAGAGTATCTGCGACCTAGTAATTTGTTATGTCCTCTCAGTGGGTCCACATGTGTCCAGAATCTCCTACAGACCTAACCCTGGAAGCAAATGTATATACTGGAGCAATCTAATTCTCCAGAAATTGTCCGAGTATTTTTAGTCCAATTAAAAAGGAGAACTGCCCTCACTTTAGCTATAGGTGCGCCCAGGGCCTGCTAACTTGGTGTAAACATTTACGTAGGTTACATCTAAAGGTCTTCTAGTGTTGCAGAGGTGTGTTTGAAAAGAAGGTGTGTGCAGCTGTGAGGAATAAAGCTCTGGCTCTTTTACGTTGATTTTCATCTAATCACACTAAATTTGGAAACTTTCAAGTTGTGACTCCTTTTGCTGTTTCCTAGTCTTTATTTGCAGTCCTTGAATATGCCAGGCTGGATGTATGTTCTAGGCTGAGTGAATGTGCTTTCATCATTGCCTTTAGCATCTGGAATTGAATATTTCTTAATTTCGTACAGAAGAATGAAGGGAATGGCTTTCTTGGAGGTGTATTGTCCCCATTTTCTCTTCTGATTTAGATAAGCAATTCTAGCATAATCAGTTATTAAATAGTTTTAAATACCTAGCAGTTGAGATTATGACAGACTATTAGTATACTCAAAATATTAGTATATTTAATATATTAATTTACTTAATTTGGTATAAACAGAACTGAGTTTGAAGGTAAATGAATGTTAAACAGATTTCCAGAATCTGTTCCATCAGTGTTCTGAGATAGAGCAGTTTTATTCTTCTGTATTAATTTTCCCAATAATTTTTCTAGTAGGCCTACATTTCCCAAGTATAGTAGGTCCACACTTGATCTGTTTTTATCATCTCCAGAGAGATGAATTCCTTCACGTAATGAATTTTCCAAATGACTGAACTTTTACAACTGACAATTTCTGTAAAAGTTTGACCATTTTCTATATTTCTGTTAACGAATTACCCATATCACTGTCTTCTCAAGTGGAGAAGCCTGAATATAATATAAGTTTCTGGTTTATGACCCAAAGTCATCATGATGGATGTCACTTACTGCAGTGTGATACATCACATGACAGCCTTGGGAGACATTACGGGGTGTGGGACTGTTGGCCCTCTGCACAGAATGGTTCTGGACTGTTGTGGTTCTGAGCTGGGTCCCAAGCTCTTGTTTTTTGTCTTACTCCTGCCATCTGTCTGACCCTTACTTCTTGGTGCAGTGTATCTTACCTTAATCCTCACTTCAGGTTTGCTACATGTGTCTGTGCAGATAGTAAAAAGACTCTTGAGTGAGTGACTTTTCTGTTAGTAAAGGTCATGAATATGGGAGTATAGGTGTTATTGTATCCTTCTTGAGTTTTTTAGAGTTAGTTTTTCTTGTTTCCCTAATTCTTAGCTATGTTGGAGAGTTGGGGAAAAGAGAGAAACATTTATTTTTGTGCCTACTTTGTGCCAGTCTTTGTTCTGGGTAATGTACATTATGTCACTTAATACTGAACCTCACTGGATCATGACAGTGATCTCATGGATAGATACCATTATTTCCGACGAGAAAAATGAGAATTAAAGACTGACAGACACAGGATTCATCAGATCATAATATGCTGCCTTTCCTCTCTACTGTGCTACCTGATGTGGCAAGATAACTGATTTCTGGATAAGTTGTGTAAGTCTCAGGTTTCCAGTCCTTGAAGTAAAGGTGACTTGGATGTAGGACTAAGGGGTGATAACCTTTAAAACAGTGGTGTGCAGTTGATCTAGGCTGTTTTTATGTGTTATAATGTGAAAACATGTTGAAAGTATGTCAGTATTAACTGTGAACTTTTCCTTCACAAGGAAGGAAAATTAGGAAAATATTCCTTTAAATCATGAATGACAAATAGATGGTAAGTGTTGTACCCCCGGAGCAGCTTTTCACGGTTTGGGCTTGCACTTCAGCCACATCATTTTATTTGGGTATCTGGTAGTGGTAGTAAGAAAGTACCACCCCTTATTCCCAGCCAGTATTATCCTGTTGCTAGAAAGATGAGCAAAGCAGATAATAAATGACTGAGTGATTGTATACATGTGTATAGATAGATAGATACATAGGTAAGAGAGGATAGGTTTATAAGCCAGTTGTCCTATATGGAATTGACCAAGTACAGTACACCGTAATGAACAGGAAATAAGTCCATGTATGAAAAACTACAAATAGCATTTATTAGTGAATTCATTAATACATGGGAAGTGCCTAATTTTACTGTCATGGAAATTTTAAATGACAGGCCTTCAGAGTAAACAGAATCCAAGTGAACATTTTTTTATTAAGATAAAGATGAATTAACTCTGAAAGAAATTTTTAAAACATGACTTAGGTTGTTTAGTCTTGTATAATCTCTTCTTCCAATTAGCATGTAAAATTTTTGCTTTGATGTATTTTCTGATGCACATTTTTCATTTTCAGTTATAAGAAAAATTAAGTATACTTTGATAAGAATAATTTTTACATTGAAAGTTGTTTTTGTTAGATACTCTGTTTACCTTCTGTGTAGTGTTTTGTTTTGGGAGGCGGGGGGACTGGAGCTTGATGTTCTCTATACCCTGTTCCACACCCTGTATGACAGCAGTGTTGCTGTCCCCTTCTTGTTACCTGAAAGCAAACAGTTTGATGTTTGTTTATATTCAGAGAGTACTGCCAAGAATTCAATTACAGCACCTGAAGAATCCCATCAAGATCTAATATTCGATGCTTCAAGAGACCAAATATTACTTCACTTAATTGGGGAATGACTGGAAACAGCCTAGTCTCCCTGTATTGCCTTTCCTCCTAATAAATTACCTGCATACGGTTTTCCCATCAATCTGTTTAAAAACGGAGTACTTTTATGAGCTTTAGGAAAATGTTTTTCATTTGAACTCTTTATCATCTTAATAATGGCTATGGTTCTTTTGCTTCCTGAAAAATAGAGCAGCTTAATCTTTTTTATTTCTTTATTTATTTTTTGCATTTGTAGTATCTGGTAACACAGTTTACAAAAATTTTTCAGTTATCATTTTCATTTATGTATTTTGTTTACTTATTCATTTACATATGTTATGTATAAATGCATTTTTATACCTTTATATTCATTTCTGAGACAGCAGAACAATAGTGACAGCACCCCAGCGTTGCTCACTTCTTCTGCCAACTCTGGTTGTTTTGATCTGAGATTTAATTCAGCTTTCCTCCAAGAATTCTTGACACTTGTGCATATTCTGACACATGTATAGACATATACGTGAATTTTCTTCTGGGCTTATTGGCTGGCAACTAAGTTTTCTATTTTTAACCTATTTCTTTCACACTGCTGCTTGGATCGCAGTGCTCAAGCAAACCATGTTTTATCTTTAGTTATTCTTTCATTCTTTACAAAATGTATCCATCTTCTCACAAGGATCGCACATCAATGTTATTTTTGTAATTCGAGAAGTAATGCCTCTCAGTGTCATGGTGAAGAATGGTAAGTGGAATAATTACTTCTAGAATATTGCTCACATGGTGACCTCATGTTTATTTTACTTTGTGCAGAAGATGTACTTTTTGTTCATACATATTTCATCCTCCTGACTTGATAAGGAAATTCCTATTTTTTCTGTCACTCTAAGATATGTATGTTGAACGTGCATCTCCATCCACATTTGATTTCAGTTCTTTTGCACTTGGATGATTTCTGGATCCAATTTGGAAAAAATACGGTCTAGCCATGAAGGATCCATCTCTTGCTGTCGCGGCTTCTCTTGCATCTTCTGTTGGTACCTGAACGCTGTGTTTATAGTCGACATCTCTTCTCTCTGACATTTGCCGGTTTTTCATCCAGGCTCTGATCTGCCTTCTGATTCTCATGGCGTAATACAAATGGCCATGATTATATTTCCTTCTGTGCTAGAAGCTCCCAAATATTTTGAATTTTCTCTTATTTTTTTATTAGGGTGCAGCATAGATGCCAAGCACGTTGAGGAACAGTCTGCAGCTGCAAGTGAAGATGTACTTTTCCCTCTCTGTAGGGAACCGAGTTACTTTGAAATCCCTACCAAAGAATTTCAGCAGCCATCACAAATAGCAGAGAGCACTATTCATGAAATCCCGACAAAAGACACACCAAGTTCCCATACAGCAGGTGCAGGGCATGCTTCATTCACCATTGAATTTGATGACAGTACCCCAGGGAAGGTAACTATTAGAGACCATGTGACAAAATTTGCTTCTGATCAGCGCCACAAGTCCAAGAAGTCCTCTCCCGGAACTCAAGACCTACCAGGGATTCAAACAGGAATGATGGCACCGGAAAATAAAGTAGCTGACTGGCTAGCACAGAACAACCCTCCTCAGATGCTATGGGAAAGAACAGAAGAGGATTCCAAAAGTATTAAGAGTGATGTTCCAGTTTACTTGAAAAGGTTGAAAGGTAAAGTGAATTACTTGATCATTTCAGAACTTGCTGTTTTGTGACAAAGAAAATTCAGTCTTCACAGTTACCAAACTACTGCTAGATAAAAAATTATATGGTAGGAAACTTCAGCTCTTTCAAAGCTTCCTGTTTTGATTTTGAAGCTCAGAAGCAAACCATACTGCCCATATCCACCTTACTCATTGAAAATAGTCTGCTTTCATTTTCTTGCCAAAACCAGATTGGTTTTGTGAATTTATATTTATGCCATTAAAAATATTTCTTTTCCTATGGAAATAAAAGATTCATTCAGTTCACCTGTGGAATTCCCTTAGAAGACCTTTCTCATCGTTTTCTTGACTTAAGGAAAAGATATGTTCAATTCTGTTCTTCTCTATTGTGATACTTCAAGTGAAATGTCAGTGTCTCGATTTTGAAAGAAATTTTAAGCCATTTGATAATGGGCGAGAAGTTCTACATTAGTAATAATAGTCACATTGGGGTTTTTTAAATGTTTATTAATTTTGTGTGTGTGTGAGAGAGAGAGAGAGAGAGAGAGAATCAATCCGAAGGAGGCTCCACCCTGCCAGTGCAGAGCCCGACATGGGCCCCAAACTCACTAACTGTGAGATCATGATCTGAGCTGAAATCAAGAGTCAGACACTTGCTGACTGAGCTACCCAGGTGCCCCAGTAATACAGTCACATTGTTGAGAAAATGTTTCAAGCTTTTCTCAGTGGTTATTCGTGAAACAAAATTCTTGGTTTAGAGAACAAAATTCTTGGTTTAGAGATACTGGGAATTAATTGAATTAAAAATGTTTTTGATATTAAAACTTATGAAACCACAATTGACTGTTTATTTGTGAAGTAGTCAGTATATGCTTTTTAGTATAACACTTGGCCAAAATTTGTCAGATGTCTATACCTGTACAACAGGGTATCAGCTGAATAATTTTTCTATTGTTTTGCTCTATCTTAATTACCCTATCTTAATTTTATTTCATAAGCTATCATTAAGAGAAATGACTGCATGCTAATATGACCATTCTGTTACTATACAAGGAGTTAATGAGCTTTAACAAATGCTAATTGAGGTCACTGTATCCCTAACACTTCACCTGGGACTTAATTATGTGGCAAGTACTCAGTAATTTGAATACACAATGAATGACTTTGCTATCAATGATAAGACGAACCCTGGCTTAACCTGTACTTTATGCCCTGGGATTTTGGTCAAGTACTGAAGAAATACCTGCTCTGATTTGCTTCTAAGACATTTCAGGATAGTGAGGTGGTGTGATTACCTAATTCTTTGCTGGGGCCTATTACTAAATCTAATTATAATCATAAGCAATTGCCTGCATTATACTCTTCATATTGATTGTTATCTTTTGCCTCTGTCAGCTAATACTAAATTCGTAACTGAGAACTATATATTTACGTATAGGTGAAAGCTCACAGATAAAAGCTACCCATCTGTATGCTGACCATTTGTAAGAATCAATAAATAGTACTGATATCCAAGTGTAATATAAAAGGTAGCATAAACCTTGACAATTTAGAAATGACATGGTCTTTCTCAAACTACTTTTAATAAATGTGCCAAAAGTGAGCTAAAAGGTTATTTTAAAAGTTGCCATTTTAAAATACCTTTATCCCTTTATTTTATAACTGTTTTTTTTAGTCATCATAAGCATTTTCTGTATTAGCTATTATTTTTAAGCCATCATTTTTAGCCATTCTCTTCTTGAACAAGGCCCATCTGTAAGCCTGATTCCAAACAGAGGCATTAATGCCCATAATCACACTGTATCTGTGCATTAATGATACTTAAAAATTTTACCAGAAATTATACAAATTGCTGTTTTCCCTCAAAGTTGATTTATGGGTAGACACATGTTCTCATGTATTGCCATCGCTCAGAACTCTTCTTTTGGATTGGCCTTCAGACCATTTTACGAAAAAATATCTTTGTGAATATAACTCATTTTTGGTTCAAGATAGATCCATTTTATTGCTCCAGTTATATTTATAAATGACATTTGACTTTTTCCCAAAGTCAGATATGCCATCATTAGACAGAATTTCCACAGTCTAGGTAGGATGTTGAAAGTGTATACATAGACTTTAAATAAAGGTAACAGTTTTACATTAATTAGACTTCCAGCAATTATTTGAATCAGTCTCAAAAATTAAAAGTAAGTAAAATAAAAGCAAAAACCTTTGCTCCTACAAGAGTAAAGTGCACGCGCTTTGGGACAGTGAAGAAAATCATGCTCACAAAGCCCGTACACTTTTCCCTTTAGGAGACTTGCAGCTTCTTTTGACCACAACGTCTGACCTGGTACAGCTAACCTACCCCCAAAAATACTGAACAGACTTCAACATATTTAGGCGTGGTTGATGGTAGACAACACAGAAACTCGGAGAGGAGAGTTTCCCGGTGATTTTTGTTGTTGTTGAGTACAAAGAGAAATTGCAGTTCTTGCCAGGGGTCTCCCCTTTTGTAACACTGAAAAATACAAGAAGGAATAGCAATATTCCATGAAAGAAAATGGCTAATCCATAAGAAGTTTTAAACTGTAACTTAAAAAATACCAAAAGGACCCAACACCACTTAAGTGCCAAATTTTACACGTTGGTACAAGAGCTGAAGTCTTGTAAAGATGGTGTTTTCATGTTGTATATGTGTGCTGTGTGGGCTATTTGGTCTTATTGGTACAGAAATTTAGAGTTTAGTTATTACTGGCTCTTGGAAACTGGATTCCTTTCCAGTTCAGCCAGTGCAACAATAAAAAAGATTGTAAAATAGCATGTTTTCAATGAGTTTTATATTTGAATTAGTGGTTTAGTTTGGTTTTGCGTTCCATTTGCTATCCCTGATTCCTTGCTTAATTGCCTGAGGGTGGGGATTCCATTAATTAAACACCTGTTTGGGTTTTATTCTTTTCAGATTGCATTTTGAATAATTGCTAATTTGAAGAAAGATTTTCAGATTTGTTGTTGTATCTGATGTTTATGACATTCATCAGTTTTGTTTTGCTGGGAAGTGCCTCCCTTCGTGTTGGTTTAATTCTCTCCCTTGGCTTCCCTTGCCTGTGACTTTTTCAAAACATTACCCTTTTCTGTGGATTCTTTCTAGCTTCTGAGTCTTCTCACACCTTTTATGTACATTTTTACAACTAGTCTTCTGTTAAATCATTAGCACCAGTTGGTAACCTCTAAGTACATTTAAAACAAAAAAGAACCCCATGAGTATTAAAATTCCCCTTTCTCTTTTGAATGTGTGCCCTTTGCCCCTCCCAGCCAATGCATTGTCCAGTTCTGATCATTGTCTTGTTTGTTACTACATTATTCAGCAGGTCTTCAGATTTAGAATTTGTAGCCCAGGAAAGGTTTAAACTCAGACTTGGGACTAGAAGCACTTTTCTTCCAATGAAGCCATCATTTAAGCCCTCGTTTGTAATTCATTCAGTCTAAAACTGAATAATTTAGGAAGCATAGAAAAATTCTTGACCTTCAAAAAAATTTATGCTATAATAATATAAGTATCATTTGATAATTTCTTCTAATGTACTTATTTAAATACTTAAAATTCTAAATCATTGAAAACTAATTTCTCTAATGTTTCACATTTAATCCCTAGTAGAACTATGAAGGATAACAGAAAAGCTGTTAGGAACCTAATGTTTCAAAATTCAAACATATTCTAACTTGACTCTATATGCTTTATAGAGAAGACAGATTTTTAGCTGGTTATATTTAGCACCCTGCCATTTGCCCAGAAGGTGGTTAGATTTATATAGGATTTCATAGACGATGCTATTCTGTGATAGGCCTTTAGCATGCTTTATTTAACTCTTTGAAGCCACCAGAGTTTAGAGCACAAATGTAAATTTGCAAAACTTCTCATAGCTAGAAAGACACTTGTGGAGAAGTGTATAGTAATTGGTGGAAACTACAAATTTGTATCTTCATATTAAAATTTTGTATACTTTTTATAAAAGTATGCTGTAGTTTTAGAAGTATTAAACATTGTCAAAATTCACCACATTTTATGGCATTTGTGTTCTATTTTACTGTGTGGTGATAAGCATCTCAGGAGGATCACTCTCTTTTCTCTTTTCCTCTCAGGCTAGAAGCCAATTTTTGATTGCTAAAAAGGTATAAGGTTTGGAGGCCGGATTAACGTTTATTAATGTTATAAATACAGACTACCGCAGATGATATAGCATTGCTTATCTGTTAAGGCATTAATGAATCATTAGAAAGTTAAAAATTTGGAGAAAGAAAAGCAGTCCTATTCATTTATTTATAAAGGACCTCATTGTTGGTTGAGAAAATCTGAATGTGAGCGTTGCAGTTGAGGGGAGTTTGCCGAGCCTGTTACTGAAACGAACATATGACTGGGGTTGAAGAGGGGGAGGGGGCCAAAAGCAAGTAACACTTTTGTATACGCGTCTAATTTTCTACATGGGACTTTTTCCTTCCCTATTATGTGGCTTCTGTTTTGTGTCCAGGAAATAAACATGATGACGGTACACAGAGCGATTCAGAAAATGCTGGGGCCCACAGGCGCTGTAGCAAGCGTGCTGCTCTCGAGGAACACTTAAGGCGGCACCACTCCGAACAGAAAAAGCTGCAGAAGGCCCAGGCCACTGAGAAGCATCAAGACCAAGCTGTTGTAAGTCAAACTGCTTTTATGATTGCATTCTTTGACGAAGACAATCCCAGAAAAAGACGGTCCTACTCTTTTACTCAGAGTGCGGGAATCTTGTGTCAGGAAACTACTTACTCGACACCACATACAAAACTTGAAAAAGCAAAATCTCCAACAGCAGATGCCAAAGTGGTTTCTTTGTCTTTCCAGACTAGCTCTACGCATCACAGAGGGGGGCATGGTGTTCCACATGGGAAATTGTTAAAACAGAAATCAGAGGAGCCATCGGTGTCCATTCCCTTCCTACAAACTGCATTATTGAGAAGTTCAGGGAGTCTTGGGCACAGACCAAGCCAGGAGATGGATAAAATGTTAAAAAATCAACCTACTTCTGCCACTTCTGAAAAGGATAATGATGATGACCAAAGTGACAAGGGTACTTATACCATTGAGTTAGAGAATCCCAACAGTGAGGAAGTGGAAGCAAGAAAAATGATTGACAAGGTAAATGGTGGTCGGGGATGGTGGTAGTTTTCTTTTGGTGTATTTGACTGTTGGAAATTATTGGAGGGTCAGCATGAAATGTTCTCATGCAGTCAGCGGCATGGGAACTTTAGGATTTTGTGAGGGAACTGCAAAACTAACAATAAAACCAAACTGCTTTCTGATTTTATTCTGCTGATATTCTGAACTTACCTGACTTCCACGTGTAAAGTCCTTTATGTTTATAAGCTGTTTGGACCTTTTAAAGTTGTGTAAATATAAGATAGAATTTTAAAACCGTGTACTTTGTGTGACCATTCTCACTCTATATTTACATAAAAAGCCAGGCTGCTCTGCCCCTGTTAATATAAACATAAACATCACCCGATGATATTCACCCGTGAATCTTGCCTACTGGTTTCATGTCAGAAATAGGTGAAAGTGTGTATGTTTTAGTCCATTTTGTTCTTTGTCCTTATTTTTTCTTAATTTCTGTTCACTGCTGCCTTTGGAGATAGAAAAGAAGTGTATGGAAACAAAATCTGTTTCACTGTGATACTCTGAATTCAGCCACTTAAGTGTATGCCCAGCCGTGATGATTATTTACATTTTAGACGTGTTCTTTGATGTTATTAATGTGTCTAATGATTGTGTTGTTTGGTTTTAAAAGCAGTTTTTAACAATTTTGCCTGTAGTTATGGAAAGTTGATCAGCTGTTTGTTTTACCGTAGAAAATAACAGCTTAAGTTTGGTTACATGTTAACCTCTTGTTTAAGTTCTTGTTACTCAGTGTGAGCAGCATTAGCATCACTTAAGAGCCTACTAGAAATCCCAGAGACTCTTAGTCCTGATCTAAACAGGCCGAATCAGAATCTGCTTTAAAAGCAAGATCTGCGGGTGATAATTCGTATGCACCTTAACTTTTGAGAGGCACTAGTTCAGGTGAGGGGTTCACGGAGCGGGCTTTCAGGGAGTCGAAGAGGTCCACCTTTGGGAGGTAGGAAAATTATTAGGACTTTTATTTTCTTAGTCTTTATTTACATGTTGGAGTGTGTTCTGTAGTGTATGCAATCTGTTACTACACGGATAGACATGTATATAATTTATTGAGGAACACATGCTCAAAATTGTTTACTGTTGGAGTGTATGACACCAAACTTTCAGAGACCCATTAGTCTAAGAGAAATAAAGCAAGTAAGAAGCAGATGAATAAAGTGAGTTTTCCAGTTATATTAAAAGAAGTCTAAGAACATTCTGTCTGGTCATTGAGAACAAGGATATTGCTATCTAAAATACTGTCACATGCAAAATGAAGAAATAGGTTTGAAAAGGAGAATGATAAGTTTTAGAATTCAGATTAATAATGATTTTAATCCTATTATGCCTTTGTTTGGTTTATGGATATTATGATCATAGTGGTCAATGTTTTCTCTACTAGGTTATTTCACGGTGAGGGATTATATTGTAGTATTGAAGAACATGAGCATCTGCAGGCAGATAGATCTGCGATTAAGTTAAACTCTGCACGTACCAGATATGTGCCCTTGAGTAAAGTAACCTCTTTGAACCTTTCTTTTTTTCTAAAATGGAAGAAAGTTCACCAGGTTTTATAAAAAGAATTCAAATATATAATTCAAATAATACACAATGCCTGTCTTGTAATAAGACATCTAAAAATGTTAGCTATGTTATTACCCTTACCAGGAGTCTCCACATAATGGATCTCTACACAAGGTATGGATAAATGCTGGAAAGTGTTTTCAGCCTGAAAGAGTCAAATCTGAAGCCCAAGGGGAAGTGCAAGGGAGCAGCCTGTCCAGGATAGCAGAAAGCCAAAAAACCAAGTGCACATGGCCCTTAGGAAACGGCTGGATGGAAAGGGTGACCACAAAACCTGGTGCATACCTGCTGTGTGTAATTATCATGAGCATTTTTTCTTCAGTGGCAAATTATATGGTAACACTGTGGCTAGAAGAGAAAACCAAGATTTTAAAGCGGGATTCCTTTAAGGGAGTAATGGTTCTATATGAATGGTCATTCCTAGTTTGCATAAACCAGAAAACAAAGCTGCCCATAACTATAGGAAACAGTCACTGGTTGTCTTGTGAATACAGAGAAAAAGAGCTGTGAGTCTACTCGTTGTGGTTAGAGCCAGAGGCCAAATTAGGTTAATGTCAGACTCTGGGAAACAAAAGCCGGGAAGCAGGAGTCAAATGAGTGAAGAAGATGAAGTAACCTGCAATTGTGGAGAAAACAAAGACCAGGACTAGCCCAGAAGTGAGTGCTCTGGGAGGGTGTAGCAATACATGCATCATATCAAGTTGCTTGGATGAGTTCAGGTGTGTGGATAGAAGTTGGGGGCCTTAGCTGCTTTCCATCTAAATTTCATTGTTTGGCCCTGAAAACTTGCATTTAGTCTCTTACCCTTTTCACTCCATCATTTGAAAACTGGTTTATTTCATTGATTTGTTTTCACAGCCTTTATTCAACATCAACTGTATGCCAAGCTTTGTGTTAGAAGAGAGAGGTTCAAGTTGAAAAGACAGAGTTCTTCCCCTCGAAACATGAGTCTGTAGAGGAATGGAAATGCACAAGTAAAAACATGAATTAGAGTAGTAATGCTGAGTGCTTTGATAGACATAAGCTATTGGAGGAAGGGTGCCAGTAGCCTCCGAGAAAAGATCTCAGGTTCAACATCCCACCTTCAGAGAAGTTTTTGGCCGAGCAGTCTAAAGAGACCTGCGTAGGCACTCACTGTCAAGTCAGCCTGTTTGATTTTAATCATAAGCTTTATCACTACTTAACACTTTCCTATTTATTCACCTTCCCACTCCCCCAAATACGTGTGCACACATGAAGGTAAACTCCTTAACTGTGGGAACCTAGTGCCTGGCATTTTATATGTCTTCAATATGGAATTTAATTGCCAACCGAGCTCATTTTTAAGCAGGTGGAATCAATCCCATAACAGGTGTGATAAAGTAGGGTTTTTCAGAAATATGGAGCACTCTGTTCCAAATATGGAGCATGAGAGTGTGGAGGACCTGTTCAGAGGACCACAGTTATTTTAGACAGATGAGATCAGACTAGATATTGAAGGCCCCTGTGTATCATACTAAGGACTTTAGATATTTTAATGCTGGAGGAGAATCCCTGAAAACTCTTAAATAGGGCAGTGACATCTAATCATTGTCAGAAGTGTGAAGAATGGATTGGAAACAGAAAGCAATTAAAAAGCTGCTGGTGTGTCCAGTATTCATTTGGATAGAAACATCTGAGTCTTAGATAAGAGATCTGGGCTAAAATACTAAGTTGGGAAATATCAAGGAGTAGCTCTGTGCAAAATAATAGATGAGATTACTTAGAAAGAATGTACAGAGGGAGAGGAGACAAAGTATGAAGTTCTTAGCAACACCAACATTGGTGGACAAAAGGAATAAGAGTGAACAAAGGAGGCTGAAAAGGATTGAACACAAGAAACAGAAAATAGTACGTTGGAATCAAAAAGCAGTAAGCCACAGTATCGCATGATAACAGCATTGAATGCCTCTTCAATTTTTCCCCCAAATACATCATATTCCTGGGCCTAAACAAGTTAATTAGAACAGGTATAATTTAGGAGAAGTTGCATGTAGTTAAAATAGAATCTCTTTAAAGAAATTACCAAGCTGAAATACTGTATCTTTGTTTTTCTGTGCTGGTTGTAGTCAGAAGGTAACCAAAATATCCCCTCACCAAACTCCAGGTTATGGGATTACAGCATTTTGGTTCATGTTGTTGTTGTGTGGTTGTCAGTAGGTAGCCTTATTTTATGCATTGTCCCCAAATTCACTTCTTTTTATAACACAAATGCCTGTTGTTTATGAAGACCTCTTAAGTTTCATGTCTAAGCTTACATGGAGATGCGCTATGATAAGAAAATGCTGTTCACTGCCTGGATGAAAGGTAACTGCCTTCCATAGTACTGATAGCCTCCCAGCCCTCCCTTGTCCGGCCTTCCTCTGGGATCTAGAGAACCCATCACAGTAACCAGTTTCTTCTTCCCACTCCTCTATCGAAACAGACCCTGCTGAGGGAAGAAGAGGAGGATGTTATGAGGGCAATTTCCTAGTCTTCCAGGCAAAGGGAGAAAAACTTGTAGTGAGAACAGAAAGCTAAACGTTAAATTAACAACAAGAAAAAAAAAATTGGTCAAAAAAATTGGCTTGAGGCGCTCTTTTGAAAAAAGTACTTTCCATAAGTTTCCTGCCTTGAGTTTTGATTCCTGTCCATATATCCCCCAAAATACCTCTTCTCAGCATAGTCTCTTCTCTCATGGGCCTTGTATCTACTGGTGCTGCTCTGCAGGCAGCAAGTGGTAGGGAAGAATACAGAACCAGGAAAACTATGACAAGACTGGAAACACAGGATGAAGAATATCTACAGCCCAAAGAAAGTCAGTGCTGAGAACCTGAATCCAGCTGTAAGCAGTTTGGAATAGGGGATATTACAAACCTTGAAGTCCACAGCAAGACTTCAGATTCGACCAAGTCAGAGCCAGGGGAACCCTGATAAACCTGAGTCAAAATCTGGGTGACAGTGCCCAGTGGAACACAGAAAGGCACCACATCCCAGGTCCACTCAGACTCAGGGTCCGACGTGCGTGGGAACTAAGACGAGGAGATCAGCTCAGAGCCTTGAGTAAGAAGAGAGGACCTTGATAACAGGCAGCATTTTGATTTGGACCACTTTGTGCCAATCCAGGAACAATCTGAGTTCCCGGGCCAAAGCAAACAGCAGTTCTTAGCCAGCAAATTCTGAGGGCTTCGTTTTTCTTCCTCTTATACTAATCTTTCTTGCCCTCTCTTCGCTGATCATTTTTTTCTTTTAATCTGTATCACAAGGATTTACTTTCGGTCACTGTGATTATGGCTCCTTGCCCCTTCTCAGCTCTCCTTCGTAGCCCTCCTCAGGTACAGGAAACCCTCTCCTGCTGTGTTCCCAGAGCTTCACAACTGAACCCTCACCTTTCTTCATCAGTT